AAGGTTCTTCATTGGTATATGTTAAACCACATATGTCCTGAACTTTCACAATAAAACATCACACTCTTGTTTCAATGGGTATATGTCGCCAGAGTATGTGATGCGTGGTCAATATTCGACCAGGTCCGACGTATTTAGCCTGGGAGAGTTTCGATTTTAGAGATCGTTACTAGAAGATGAAACTCCGGATCTACGACTCTGATCAAGATGTTGATCTTCTAAGCTTCGTAAGCTCATATATGACTCACAAAGTTTAATGCCTAATCATTGTTATGTCAGAGATAGTGCTGCTAAGTTTTCACACCCAATCTGAATGATTTGTTGCGGAATTTGGAGCAGTGGACGAGGGATAAAGCCATGGAGTTGATAGATCCATCATTGAGGAACTGTTGTAAGATTAACAAGTTGTTGAAGTGCATCCACATCGGGCTATTATGTGTTCAAAAAATGTCGGCCAATAGGCCTTCGATGTCAGCAGTAATCTTCATGCTCACAAGTCACGATGTGCATCTCCTATCTATGACCAGACCATCCTTTTGCACCCACGAGAACAATACCAACTCTGAACCAAATCTAATAGGTAATGCAAGAAATGCATCGTCAAATGAAGTGACCATCACAGAACTTGCGGCCAGATGAGTCTCAGTACACTATCTATATGTGATTACATGATGCAAATAATGATTATAATTCGCTCAAATGTAAATAACTATTGAATAAATACAACATGGTGAAGTGCGCCGAGGAGTGGGGGCATATGCCCCCATCGATGCCGTCTATTTTTTTAGCGTTATTCATGAACGAAATATCTCACGAGGATACGACGTTGCCAAATTATCAAAGCTGAACTGCAACAGTTCGAACAACGGAGCTTCCATCTCCAAACAAAGTCGATCTTTATTGTTCGACTGATGGATGCAGTGAGAGTCAAGGAGCTGGACTGGAGCAAGAGATTCAAAATTATAAATGGAATTACTCGTGCCCTACAATATGTTCATGAAGATCCTCAAATAAAGTGAGGGGGTCCGGTTGGGTCATCTTTTTTTGACCGGACACCGACTAGGCGGACGTTTCGGCGGAATAGGGGGTCCGGCCTTAGATGCGCTAAACAAAGTTTCTTTTAGACTTAAACAAAGTTTTCGAGACCTTCTATTTCAAAATAAACATAAACATAGAAGATATCTTTTTTTCTTCTGAAAACTGGATGCACTCTAGCTGAAGTGAGCCTGATTCAAAAGATGAAGGGGGTTGATGAAGAGGAAAACCAAGTGACTACAACCTCTCAAAGTGCTAACCTAGCTCCTAAAAAAATAGGTTTGCTAATCCTCAACAGTCACCCACACCAGATCTATAAGCAAAGTTTTCATACTTGTACTCAAGTACAAACATTGACATTTTTCTCTCCTGAGAATTGACATGGCAACCAAACAGGAGAAGGAGCTCACAATAAAATCAGGTAGTCCATCATCAAACCATGACCTTCCTTTCCACTGTTTCAAAGTAAAAAAAGACACAAATAGACTAAGCGACCGACACGCCTCCTGGCTCCGGCGGCCGACGCGATGGCGGGCCGCTCCCGCTCCCCCTCGCTCTCCTCCTCCTCCTCCCCGTCCTCCCGCTCCTCTCTTCCTTCTCCTCGGTCTCCTCCCCGTCCCACAACCACTCCCCTCCCGACCGCGGCCGCCGCATGCAGGTGAGCCGCGCCACCGGAACGAACTCCCCCGCTCACCATTTTGTCTGGATTATGTACTCCATAACTCATATGGTGTTGTCTTGCCGGAATAAAAGATGGTGCTCTATTCGGTGTATTTGCAGCTGTTTCAGGTATATATTCCCAAATTCAATAAAAGTAGCATGCCTAGGGGAGGTGCGGTGGCGGCCTCTCGCCGGATGCACAATTTCTGGCTTGCATCAATGGAGGCAGAGGAGCCGAGAAGAAAGGAGGGAAAGATTATGTGTTGGGGATAAGAGCAGAGAAAAAAAAGCGTTGGTAGGGATAAGGTGCATGGGTCTGGCACTGGACGTACGCGTGTGAGGAAGGCGACCGGCCAAGCGTTCGGCAGATCGGCCCTTCCTAAACGTTTTCCCATAATATATGACGTTTTGGTAGGCTAAACTATCTACCAAAACGTCATATATTTTGGCATGAAGGTAGTACCAGCAACGAAGATTTCATGTCATTTTTCCTTTGAAGGAAATTGAACATTCACACGGTGTTCTTTTCTCGGGGAGGTACACTCCCTCTTTTCCATGTCTCTGGTTTCCTCCAAGTCGAATGAGTCGAATTGAGCATTTTGCCGTCCTGCTAGCATGTATACTGACTTCAGTGCGGCACGTCCCCTCTCTTTCGTCTTCCATATGCAGAGTTCGTGAAGACGGTGAGAATTATTTATAATCCAATGTAGGGCATGTTGCATTCTGTAATGTGCATATGCGAAAAGTCATAGCGGCATGTGACTTCTTGTGACCTGTAAAAGGTTAAGATAAGGTACATAATAAACTCTCTTTTTTGTGGGAAAGGTACATAATAAACTCTGCAATGTGCATAAACTCCTATTGCTATACTAATTCAAATCTTGTTATTTTTCCTATGTCACAAATGTTCATGTTTTGTGTGACTCTGTTATGTGTTGCAAGCTCACATGATATACCATTATCAATATCTAGCACCTTTTCAAATAAAAATAGAAAGATCAAAGAGTTGAGAGTATATGGGTTGTATGTAAAACTAGTTTCATGAAGAAATATTTGACAGAAGTGACGAATGAGTATATGGGTTGTATGCAAATGGCACACTTTAGGGCAACGAAGTGTAGCTGCTAGCCCTACAAGTGAGTGACGAATGGCGTGTCATTTTTGCCAAATTTCCTATAGCACAAAATGTGTGTCATTTATATCACTTCCGAACCCATTTTATAATGCATTAGTTACACGCTGATTTACAGCCTCACGAGAATGTTATCACTATGACTAAAGTTTGAAGAAAACAACTATTACGCTATACATATTCTCTATATACTAAGGTAATCTAGCACACGAACATAATTAATATATTAGCACTTTCCGGTTGATTTAATCCATAAATGAATCATGAACATGGCATTAACATCATGGAGCTCATACATGCCAATATATAAACATGTGAGCACGTACCGAACATAGAACCAAAATATGTATGAACAAATAGACCGAAAATGCTATTGTGAGCTCGAGCTCACATGCACCCTTTGCTACAGTACACACGAAAAAAATATTTAAAAAGTTTAAAAAATCTGAACTTTTTTGGCAACAAACATTGATTTTTTTCTACATGCATGCAAAATTTCATGACAAAATGACATTCATGCAGGTCCCGGCAAAAAAAAAAATTGATGCTCCAAAATGCTTCCAAAAACAGTTTTTTTTAGCATGATTTTTTTTCGAGACCTCCACAAATGTCATTTCATCATGAAAATTGGCACGCATGTAGAAAAAACATCAAAGTTTCTTGACAAAAAATTCAGAATTTTTTGATTTTTTTACTATTTTTTTGAATTTTACTGTTCATTCAGGATTACATGCTCCATGTCCCAAATAGACAAGCTATTTTAGTTTGTTGTTTCCCTGTATATGAACAAAGACATGCGTGAGCACGTATAGAACATATAACTGAAACATCTATAAACATCTACACCGAGGCGTCTATGGTATGTTGTTTCCTCGTTGAAACCGATGTATCACATGCTACACGAACTGAATCGTTTGGCGAAAGTGGGAAAAATAATAGTTTTTTTTGAGAATCGGAAAATAGTAGTTTTAGTTCCTAAATTTCAGGTGTTCTATGCGGATAGGAAATAGACATGCTATTATACAGGACGTTTTTACTGCTATCTATAGGTGACATGGACGACTTTTACGCACTATTGGTGGCCAAGGGAGGCCGGCCTCATAGAAAGGGTTGTGGTGGCATGGTGAAAACTGTTGTAAGACAAATTTTTTTCCTGAAATCAGCTGTTTGGCATGATGGTTGGAGACTGGTTAGCAGAATTTGCG